CTCGCTCCCCTCGGAGTCTAGGCAAGTAAGGCTCCATGCGGCACATCCACACGGAGACGTCGCTGCCCACGGAGCGCGGCACGGACCCCAGCCTGTCCCGGCCCAGTGGAGAGGCACCCTTGGAGCCTTCCTCACAGCGCTGCACCCACCGTGGCATCCTCATGGGCTACAATGAGACAGAGATCAAGCGCCAGAAGGTTTACCAGGTCTCCATCTTCTCCCATCTCTCCAGCTCCTCTGAGAGCACGGAGCAGCGGGCAGGCAGCCGGCCGGCCGTCAAGAGGGGTTACCCCGAGCAGCGAACTCCAGAGCCGGGGAGAGATCCCAAACGAACTCACTGGGGTGGCGGGGGGGTGGACGGCAAGCGCGATGGGGGCCCTGGGCAGGCTTCCCTGGACGATGACGATACCTTTGAGGATGGTCTGCTGGTGGAGGAGCTATCCCTGTGCGGCTCTGCCCAGCACTTCTCCCACAGCGGGCTGCGGGTGGTGGAGCACCGGTGTGAGGGCAGCCCTGGCCGCAGCCCCAAGGCCGGCAGAGAGGACAAGTCGCAGGATGTCGTCTCCTCCTCCTCCTCATGGCCTCAGCACATTGCTTGCAGTACTTTGCACATGAGAGACAGTTGCCCTGTCTCATCGGGGGATCAGCCTATGGACTATGGGGAGAATGGGGAGCTGGCAAGTGGCCACAACTCACTTCACCTTGATTTGCACAGTATTGCACAAACAGCCCGCCTAGACTCTGGCGGGAAGACAGAGAAGCCAGGGAGCAGCCCAGCTCACAGCAGCAGGGCTAGCGGAGAAGAGGAATGGCCAGTGGTGGCCAACGGGTGCAAGGAGCCCCCAGCTCCGCAGACAACACTCAGCCCTGAGCCCAGCAACCTGAGCTCCCTGGAGAAGACACCCTGCGGGAGCAGCCAGCTCAGCGGCAGCAGCTGCCCGGCCAAAAGGAAGCTGCTACCTGCTGGTGAGGTTGTGGCCGACTCCTGCTCTGAGGATGAGACCCTGTCCCCGCCGGCAAGGAAGAGGGTCCTGCCGTGCCATCCAGTGCCCACAGCCTGCCGCAGCACTGATGCCAAGGGGGCCCCGTTCTGGAATCATCTGCTTCCCACGGCCAAGGTGAGCATCACTCATGGGAGAAGGCTGGGCATGGCCTGGGGACACCCAGAGCTCAGGGCTGTCCTCGTGGGCAACGTGGCCCGTCGTGGCGCAGCACCCTGTCCTGTCCCAGTGCCACAGCACTGCTGTGAGCAGGACGGTGCTGACAGCCAGCCCTGGGACGCATGGTCTATAGGCTGTCACCAACTTTTGACACCTTTTAGTCACTCTGCTTCCAACCAGCCTGGAGAGCCTGGCTCGGACAGGACATGACCTCCCAGTGACAGCAAGAGTTGGACGTGTGGCATGGGGCCACCCTCAGTGCCCGACAATTTCACTTTAAGCCAGACTTAGCAGCAGGCTTGGGAAGAGTGACTGTCTTCTGCCTGATGAGGAGGAAGGCGGAGGGATTGGGATGGCTTGAGTCCCTGGCCATGATATCCATCAGGGCAAGGGTTTGGTGGCATGGCGTCGAACTGGACATGCTCTGACCAGGGAGTGGGAGCCCCAGTGCTGTGTGCAGAGATGCCACTGGCTTTTCTGCAGTTCTGGGATGCCTGTGGCATGTCCCCAGGGTGCCACAAATGCAGAAATGGGGCAGATTCTGGAGGTTTGCAACCACCGTGGCAGCTCAGGAGCTGCCTGCAGTTCCTCCCTGGATACCTGCCCCTCCTGGCCAGCTCCCTGCCTTCACCATGTCCTGCCAGCTGAGGCTGCAGCAGGCTCACACCAGAGCTGGCACGCTCCTCTCAAAAAAATCCCATGGCACAGGGACCTACAGGGACTGATGGCAGAGCTGCCCTCGCTTCTTGCTGCTTGGAGCCAGGACGCACCGTCCATGGGGCACAGCTCCATCCCAGCCCACGTGCCCTTTTTGGTGACTGTCCCCCAGCCCAGCTGCCCCCAGCACTGCCCTTGCAGAGTGAAGCCCTCCAGCAGCTTCCCTGGGTTTTCCCGCCCGGTCATGCCAGCCAGCTCCATCATCCCTTTGTGTTGTGCTGTCCTTTGTCTGGCTTCCAGAAGGGAAAACCCCTGAAAAGGGGACATCTTTAAAAGGAGGCTGCAGTGTGGCCCTGGCTTTAAGCCCCCACCCTACAGCTGTAAGAGCCTGGCTGTGGGCAGGGCGGGCAGCATGCCCCTCTGCCCGGCAGCACTACTGAGGACTTTGCATGAATCACCGGGGGACGGGACTTTTCCCGGGCTGGTCAGGGAAATTCATCGTATGTGTTACCCTTCCCTGGGAGGTGCAGGGGGGTGTTGGTCCATGGCTCTGTGTCAGGGTGTCTTGTCACTGGGGCTGGTCCTGAGACCGGCTTTGTAAGGTGGGATCTGTGTGCTGCACCCTTGGCTTAGGTACCAACACCCTCATCGCCAGCAGAGCCACTTTGGGGTTTGGGCAGACCTACATCTCCAGCAGATACTGCAGCCCTCACACTGCCCTGCTGGCCACTCCTGCAGGGGCTGCTGACGGCTACCCATGGATGGGAGCCTCTCCGATCTTCTGGGACCATTGTGGGGCAGGGTAAGGGGCAATGGCACCTCCTGGGGGTGAGCAGTCCCTGGGTGCTGCCCTTAACACAGCTCTCTTTTTCGTGTCCTCTCCAGAGCTCTGCAGATTGCACTGCGGTTGGGAGGAGGTTGAAGAGCGGGCTGCGCCTCAAATCGTGAGTGTCCCGGCAGCCTGGCGGGATGGAGGTGGGGGCTTGGGGTGCCCAGCCACCCCAGCACCCCACAGCCCTGTGGGAGGGTCAGGTTGGGTCCCTTCCCTGTCTCAGGTGTCTCCCCTCCGCAAGACCCCAGGCTGTGCAGCGGAGGGAGGTTATTTCTGCCCCTGGTGGGTAGGAAAGTAGGTTCAACCTCCACCAAAAAAAGGGACGGGGACTTGGAGAGGGCAGCCCAGGGCTGCATGCTCTCCAGTCCAAGAGCAATCTTGTCTCCTCTCTCAAAGGCGACATCTCCGGAGCAGCCTCCGCAGGGGTACCAGGTCCTCCGCAGCGCCCTGGGCCACTACCACCGTCAGCCATGCTCTGCTGGGCAACTTTGAGGTAACGGTGTCCACCTGCCAGGGAGGGAAGTGGGTCCTGAGGGCTCCAGGATGGGCTGGCGATGGATGTGAGAGGCTGAACCTGACCGGATCCCTGGCATGGGGCTGGGCTGATTGTCCCCAAGGGCCATGCGTGCAGTGTCCGTCTCACACAGCCACCATCCACCAGCACGATGTCTCAGCCAGCAGATCCTTGGGTGATGTGCCAGGACCCTGGACCCTGCTGAGATACCTGTACCCTGTGGGGCTGAGCTGAGGCAGTCTCACAGCTTCTCTGTGTTAGATGGTTGGTTTTAGCCCACCAATTCAGGATGGGTCTGTCTTGGAGCAAGCAACCAGGGTCCCTCACAGGTGGTCTCCAGAAAGCCAGGAGACACATGAGGGCAAGCAGACATGTGATTGTGGTGGAGGTGGGGGTGACCTCACCTGCAGCTTCGAGGTAGGGGCAGCATTGGTGTTTGAAGGTCCCTAACGCTTCCCTCCTCTCCCAGGAGTCCATCCTGAAAGGGCGCTTTGCACCGTCGGGGAGGATCGAGGGGTTCACGGCAGAGATCGGTGCCAGCGGCTCCTACTGCCCGCAGCATGCCACCCTGCCTGTTGACGTCACCTACTTCGACATCTCTGAACACAGCGCACCCTCGCCTTTCCTGGTACGCGGATGAGGGAGGGCTGGGACCGTCGGGGAGGTGAGTGGGGGCTGTACCCAGGCACCATGCAACCTGGGGGGCTGCCCCTCTCCAGAGAGCGCAGCTCGAGCAACCACCTACCTGAGGAGACCACTAGCTGTGCCAGGAGCATTTTAACCCAAAAAGCAAAGAGGGAACCCTTGCAGGCATATAAACAGGCAGGCTGCTGCCCAGCCGTCTCATGGCTGGTGCTTTGCTGTCACCTCTGCGTTGCTGCTCGTTCGTCACCGGGTCTGGAGAGGGACGGAGCTGGGCGTCTTCTTGCTGCCTTGTTCCAGGCTTTCCTGGCGAGGGGGGCTCTCGGCTCTGTGCCGGCTCCCAGCTGGGCTCCCCATGGGCTTTCTCCCTCTCTCATGTGCTCGCTCTTTTGCCCCAGGGAGTGATTGACTTGGAGGCCTTGGGAAAGAAGGGTTACAGTGTCCCCAAAGCTGGAACCATCCAAGTGGTGAGTCGTCCCCTGGCCTCTGGCAACGCCATGGGGAGGGTGCTGGGTGGGCTCCGGTTGTCCTCCGGTGTGGATACGCTCCATTACATTGTTTGGCAGGGCAGCAGCCAGAAAGCTTGTGCAGAGGGGGTATGTGGCCACCGAGACAGCACAGCGGAGGGGAGCACGGGGTCCCTGGGGTGCTGGCAGGGAGACAAGGTGATGGGGGACGCAGGGAAGGAAGAGATTGGTGGGGAGGCACGGGGTCTCGGCAGCAGAGCATGTACATGCAGTGGGGATGGGATAGGAGCGCAGGAGTGGAGGTGGGTGGAAGGGACTGACCTGTGGGCCTCAGGCTAAGCCCTTTGGGGTGGTGTGGGGCTTTCTGGACACTTGGACCTGCTGGTGCTGCCCCCAGCTGCCCCAGCCCTGCCCTATGGATCCATTCCTGTGCCCTTCACAGTCTCACCCCCTACCGCTCTGCCCCCAGACCTTATTTAACCCCAACAAGACTGTGGTGAAGATGTTCTTGGTGACGTACGACTTCCAGGACATGCCGGCCAACCACATGACCTTCCTACGCCATCGCATCTTCCTGGTGCCCGTGGGGGAGGAGGAAGGGGCCACCGTGGCCCCCAGCGACCCACCAGGCTCTGGCCCACCCCGCAGGGTCCTCTGCTACCTGATGCACCTAAGGTAGGGTGGGATGGATGCCTGCCCCAGGGTCACCCCTGGGCTCCTCTCCCATGTATCCCTGTGTCCCCAAACCTGCAGGGCAGAGCACTAATGGCAGCCTGACCCTCTCGCCTTGGGGAGGAGCAGGGACAGGCTCCTCTTTTGGGGAGGTTGGAGCTGTCATCCTGCCCAAGAGCAGCAGTCTCTGTGCCTCTGAAGGCAACCGGAGCCTGGACACTTTGGCGAGGGGGCCATGCCCTTGCCTGGGAGCCTGAGGCCCCTCCACCCTGCTCTTGTCTTCTCTCAGGTTTCACAGCTCCAAGTCGGGGAAGATCTACCTTCACGATGACATCCGGCTGCTTTTCTCCCGCAAGTCGATCGAGGTTGACTCTGGGATCCCCTATGAACTAAAATCCTTCACGGAGATGCCGAGGAACCCCTGCTACTCTCCCCGGGCCTGACCCTCTCCATCCCTCAGAGCCACCAGGGAGCCTCCAGCCCAGCACTTTGGGGAGAGATGAGTAAAGGGCCAGCAAGCAAGCACTGCCTTGAACTATCGCCCTCCCTATGCGCCCCTGTCCTCCTGAGCAGCACGGACACCGTGCCCGTGGCCTGCAGCGGGACTGGGATCACCGAGGGGTTTCACCAGGAGCGGAGAGG